CACGGCCTTGGCCATCGCGTCCCCCCGGCCGCTGCCGCCGCTGCCTCAGCCACCGATCCTCTGCCGACCAGGCTACAACTGTCAGCTACCTGCCACCTCAGCCACCGGTTGTCCGCCAACCAGGCCACAACCGTTGGTTGCCTGCCCACGCCTCCTCATCCTCCACGGACCGAAAACAACTTATTTAGATCTACATTGTTTTCAATCTACTTGAACCAAACAAAAAAAAATATATAAATATTGTGTTTATTTTATCGTGAACCAAATAACTTGAAAGTAATTCAAATACATTGTAATCACAATACTCTGCAAATCTCTTACATTGCATTTCATTTTCAGCAAATTAATATATAAATATTGTGAACCAAATAACTTGAAAATAATTCAAATACATTGTAATCACAGTACTCTGCCAATCTCTTACATTGCATTTCATTTTCAGCAAATTAAACATCCCCAAAATGATAGTTTTCATATGACTACCTGCATAGTGAGTTTGGCAGATTTAGTACTCATATAAGAAAAAAATCTTTTATAAGACATCTTGACTGCTTCTCTTAAGAAAACCATACGAACTATATTTACACTAACATATATATATATATATATATAATCAAGAAAACTATTTCATAGAACTGAGGGCTATTTTTCTCTTCATGTGCTACTTCATAAAACTTGCATCATCTTCAGAAACAGATCTTACGCTGTTATGTCTGAAATCCTCTAATGTTACATGCTTTTCATACTTCTATTATTTTCTTTTAGGGAGTAGAAAGATAATCATTGAAAGGGTAGTTGATGCTTGTAGGGTCTGCTAATATTGAAATTTTTTCATGATTTTTCTTTCAGAAGGATTTGTTTAGACATACTGGCCATGCAACTTGTTAATAAGTATGCAAACTTAGATTTAATCTTCCATTGGATAATTAAAAATATGTGGATCTAAAAATTAAGAGTAGTTAGCATGACATAAACTTAATTAAACTTTGGTCCATCTGCATCCCTATCCCCAACACAGATAAGCATTATATTTTGAGGACGTGTGCAAATTACATGATAACATTGTTATGTTATGAAAATTATAGTATATTGGAAATAACTTACATTTCACATCCATCATTATATGAAGTACAACTCTTTTTTGCCATATGCTGTTCAGATAACTAAAGCTCCACCAAAGACTTTATTGGCCATGGCAATTGGAATAAAGCAAAAGAAAGTTGTGGATAAAATTGTCAGCAAGGCATGTTATGTAATTTCCATTGGCAGATCTTTCTTGTTATAAACTCTTATTTATATAATCTCTGTGATTCTATAATTCAGTTCTCTTCAGTTGATTCCAATGTGATGCTTTTTCATTATGATGGTTTTGTTAATGAATGGAGGGACTTTCTATGGACTGATAGGGCATTACATATCTTTGCAGCAAACCAAAGAAAATGGTATTTCTTATTTGTGTTATGAAGATAACCATTCTTGGTCAATAAAGATAAAATTTTTTTAGCCGTTTTGATATATTTAATACTCTATTTTGTGACTTAGGTGGTTTTCCAAGCGTTTCTTACACCCAGATGTGGTTGCAGAGTATGATTATATCTTCATTTGGGACGAGGATGTCAAAGTGGATTCTTTCAATCCTAAACGGTATAAACACACATTACTTATTTCTTTGAATTGTTTTATTTTGAAGGTATGATATTAGTTTTTTCTATTGATTTAGTTGTCTTTGATATTAAACTCTTTTGTTGCTGATGCTTAACATCACCTACAACAGCACTTAATTCAGTGGGAAAAAGTTACAAATATGTAAAACTACATCATTTGGATATGTATAGAGGCTATTTGGAATCATTTTTATATTTTATTATTTATTTTATTGATATTTTGATTTGAAATAAAACAAATTTGATATGTTAAAAATATAATCTTTTTTTTTTTTTTTTTTATTGAAATAAATTTTATTGGGTAGGCGATAATGATGAGCGGTGTTGGGTGGCAGCTAACAGCAGCGATAACTTTTTTTATATGCGCTTAAAATCTCTAATAGTTATTTTATTTATTTTCAAATATAAGTTGATTTGTTTTAAATATATATGTTTAATTGTTTATAAAAAACATCTCAAAATTCCAAAAATCATTTTTGACTATTTATAAAAATAAATTATTTGTTCATATAACTAATACAGTGATAAATATGTTCTTTAAAATATAAGCAAAAAATGCTAATAAAATAAAACTAGACATAAAATAAAATTGATTCAAATCAAACCCAAAACGAATATATTTTTAAAAGTAAAATAAGAAATCAAAAACAAAAATGATTCCAAATAGGCCCTTAATATTTCAAATTTGATGTCAAATGAGCGTGAACATAGGTAGATGTGTTTTTCTCTTTTGATCTCTATCTATTTTTTCATAGACTACATCATTTATGTACAATTTTACATTGTTTCTTGAAGCAATTTGATTTTAAAATTAAACAAAAGTCTTCTCATTAAACAGAATGAAAGTTTTTTTTCTCTCCATCGACTTACCAAATGGATCAAACTGCAGTTACTTATCAGTTGTTGTAAGAGAACAACTAGAAATATCCCAACCTAAGCTGGATTCAAGTAAATTTGAGGCCCATCATCGACCTAGCATGCACGCGAGGTAAGAGAACTTTCACAGGCCTTTTGTCTCATAATTTTTTATTATTATTATCTTACAACTTAATTTATTGCACTTGAAATCTTTAGTTGGACAATGGTGAACTTATAAGTATTTTTTTAGAAGTTTGGAAGATTGACCATTGGCTAATTTTCATTTTTTTTTAAGTAATGTTTTACTACTTAAAAAAAGCTTGTATTAAAACTTCAACAATGTTAGCTTTTGATTCGGTGAATTTCTATAATGATTTCCTCATTAGATATGTGATTAAGAAGCTTCTTCCACTTCCTTGATTGCTTAACTTTCCTCTTATTAAAAAAAAAGTACTTTTTGTTGTTTGCCTTGAAGCTTCTTTTCTTTTCATTTTCTTTCTTTTTTCATATTAAAAATGATTAACATAATATAAATATTATGAGCATATTAGATATTTTCAAAATAGCCCTCATATTATGTTGGGCTGGCCAATTTAGATCTTAAGTATCACATTTTTCAATTTAGCTCATTGGCTATACAAAATCAATTCAAAATGATCCATAATGTAATCATTACGATGCAAAATTAATCCCAATTTGTCACTTGACTATATAAAACTAATTCCTATTTAGTCCATAAGGTACCACTTTGAATCACTTTTGTATAATTGAGGAACTCAATAGAGAAATGTCATACTCTATGACCAAATGACCAAATATGAATAACCATGATACTCTTTGAAGTTTAACCCACATATTAATGTGAGCTATGATATATATGCTCTTCATTTGCCATCCAATTTTATTTTGGTTATATTTAACTATTTATGTAATATCAATTTACTATTTGGCAAGTGATGATCTACTAGTGCATATCAAGTTTAATGTGTTTTGTAGTTGGGTAAAAATGATGGCTCCTGTATTTTCAAAGGCAGCCTGGCGTTGTGCTTGGCATTTAATTCAGGCATGTTAATTTTTTTTAATTTATATGTTTTTATCATAGTCATGTTTTAAATTTATAAAATCTAAATTATGGATGTTTTCTAGTTTCACTTTTCCTTTTGCAGAATGATTTAATTCAAGCGTCGGAACTTGATTATTGTGCCCAGGTAATTCATTTTCATATTCCATTCCCATCTTTCACTGTGAAATGGCAAATAAGAACTTGAATTACTCTTATATCAGGGAGACATAACAAAAAAATTTGGTATTGTGGATAAGCAATATATTGTTCATAGAGGAATCCCTACATCTGGTGGTTCGGATGATTTCAAGGTTAGCCCTGTATTGTTCTCTATTTTTTCTAGAATTCTTTTAGTGAATTTTGAAGAGGGTATTCATTAAGTTATGGTTCGTCTCGATCGAAGAAATCAAACTTGTCATTAGCTAGAAAAGTTGTAAATAAATTGAATTAAATTGAGTAAGGACTTGAACAATTTTTTTTCATTTATTTTCTTATTAGGTTGGTGCCAATATTGAACATCATCCAACTTTCAAAATCTTGTTCAAGCTTAGTTACTAATTTTTTGTTAATTTCTGAAGCCATAATTGAGCATTAATCAAACCTAACCAATTGTATACTAAATGTTGATTTAAATAAATAAATGTATACATATTAATAATAAGTGTATTCATGATTATTTTTTTATAAAAATTGACAATAATTCACTTAGCATAATTCTATTATTTTATGATTATGAAAATTTGAAATTTTATTTATCCATTTAGCTAAATACATTTATTTTCAAATGCTAGCTAAAAAATAAAAAATAAAAATTATATCAATTTAGTGAATTTTTTTATTATCTAATGTTAACTAAAAATATAATTAGATTCTTAGTCTCTAGATATTTATCACTAATTTCATCATAGTTTTAATTCTAATATTCCTTTTAAAGTGTGTAAGATATAATAAATTCGATGCAATAGCATCAAATAAGTTATTAAACAAGCAACTTAGTCATTATTAAAAAATTGTTTTAACAAACTCATAGCAAACTACTTGTTAAATAACAAACAATCTTGTCCACAATCATAAATAGATGGCTGTGCCAAAATGTTCAAGCTTGTTTATTCATCTCTTAAACTTTAAAAATTTTGTTAAAACTTGTTTAATCGTCTTAAGTAAATGAAGATAAATAAGTCTAATATGTAGAGTATTGGGTTGTTCATTAATGCAAGTCTGTTCACTTTCAATCCTTTTGGTAGAATTTTCTCTTTCCAGTATGAAGAAGCTAGACTAATCAATTATTTGTTCATTTGCAGGCTTCTCAATGTTGATAGAGCTCATGTAAGTATTGAATTCATTTACTTTAGATTATACACACCTTAATAATAACTTATTTTTACAATAGGTTAAAGTTATAAATAAGCCGATTAGTATTCTATAACATAGCTTTTGTGTTAATTTAATTGCATGTATCCATTCAATTTATCATTCAAGTAAAAAACTATGACAAATTGATTTATGCAGGTGAGATTGTTATCTCATATTGAAGTTCTAACCTTCCAAAAGGAGATGGCAAATAGTAGCAAGCAATGATATTAGTTGGAATGATCAATAAGCCAATTCTACGAAAAAAGAATAATACACTAATCGCTTTTGCCCTTTTAATAGCTTGATATAATGTAAGTTTTTTTCCTATAGTCAATGCCACACAATTTCTATAAAAGGAGTAAAGAGTTAACATAGTTTTCTGACTATTTATGATGGGTCATTTTAAGCTTGAATTATATAAAAATACTATATTAGTTCTCGGACTCTTTAATTAGGTTGAAATAGTCTTTCATGGGGATTAATTCAGTCTTTATTAAAAAGTTTGGGAATTAAATTGCTACTTTTATAGAATTTGAGATTAAAATGACTCTCTGTAAAGAATTAGATAACTATTTTGACACTTTTCTCTATAAAAAAATGTGTCAATAGCTCCTAAATTAATTTAAGTGTTTGTTTGATTATTTTCGTTGAAAAATAATGATATTTATAATAATTTTGAAAATAAAATAAAATTTTTTATGAGATTATATAAAATGTTTACACACAAAAAATTTTGGCACACTTTGTAGCAACAAGAAATTCTTTATGATTGCCTTTGTGTTGAGGATTCTTGACACATTTTTTCTTGTTCATTGTAAAAAGAAATGAGGAGAGAAATGTGAATGACTTATTTGGTGTATTTTATATTTAAAGTGTCATAGGGAGCATAATTATAGGTCCTTAGCTCAATAAATTTATGTTGATTGAAGATTAGGAACTATTTTATCATTTTTGTATCCTTTGAAAGGAATATTGAGTGAATTACTATTAGTAATTGGGTGTTTTTTTTCCTTTCATCTTAGTTTAATCATACATTTGAGTGTGATGCTAATATCATTGTACTTATTAATTTTGTCTTACTATTTAGGAATTTATTTTATTAATCTTCACTTTCTTTTATCCAGTGGTCTTATAAATAGGGTTCATCTCATAAATAGGAGCGTAATATTGAATACAATGCAAAAACTGCGAGTTCTATTTGTATAGGATTTGTTTTGAGTTTGGAAATTTTTAAATGATATGGAGAAATTTCAAAATGTTTAGGGTTTAAAACCTAAAATTAAGTTGTTTATTGGATTGTTCCTTTTTTTAAGTTTATTTCATTAAAGGTTCAATTGGTTATTTTTTCATGTTACTTTGAACCGATTGGATTATTATGCCCCATTTCATATTGAGTAAGACTAACGCTTCATAACTTAAGTAGTTACATTATCAGGTCGAACAATTTGTTTAGATTACTTTAGTTTAATTTAGTTTAATCCAATCATGTAAAAATTGAGATTTTTAAATAGTTCAACAAATTGGTAGAATTTGGATAGATTCTTCATTTTAGTTCAAATTACACTTTATATCCTTCACTTTACATGCTCAATGCAAAATTATATTTATTGTTTTATCTTTAATAAGTACTATTGCAACATTTCACATATGATCACTTTTCAAAATTTTCTTCAAACTTGGAACTTAATTTTTAGAAAAATTTAGGTAAGAAGAGCACTCATGTATTTACATATCTCACAGCTAAACTGAATTATTTACATATATAACACTATATTGCTTTAAACCTATGCATGAAAAGATGTATTTCACTTTTAAAAAAGTATATTTTGATGTGATATTAAAGATTTGAGTGATGTGTGTGTAAATGTGAAAGTTTAGGTGTGAAATATATAAATATGCAATAATTGTGTGCTAGTCATTAGTTATTTCTTTAACGCCCAACAACTGATCCATAAAATATAAAAATAAAATGATAATTTTTTTATTTTTATATTTTTATTAATGTTGTTCTCCATTGGCACACCTTTTTTATTCCATTACATATGCAAAAACAACCAAATAAATTAAAATAATATTAATATTTGGCTTTCGTTAAATACAGCTCCTATAGTCTTAATCATATGATTATCTTTCAAAATGTTCTTGAAAAATTTTCTAAAAATTCATCTTAATAAACTTATTTGACACATTCACTTGTGTTATTAATGATTTCAATAATGACTAGTTCTCAGTATATGTAAAATTACCTACTAATTATAATTTCATAAAATTTATCTTTTAAATCTTTTGTAATATTACCTAGTTTTGCATTGTATTTTCAAGTTCTTTTTATTTTTTTAATCATCAAACTTTAACTCGGCTATTAGATATAAGTTAATCTCCTACAACATAAGAAAATAACTATCAATATCAATATCCCCCCTCCATTCAATATACTTTCTCCTACAACATAAGAAAATAACTATCAATTTTATGAAGATATCTAGCTCCTCTGCTCTCAATACACTATAAAAAGGATTCAGACAATATAATTATAAATATGCAAAAGCCATTTAAGTGTTTTGATGTGACAACAAAAAGTAATAAATAATATTTAATATGTGCCAAGTGATAGTAACAATATCATTTTTGTTATATTAATAAATGATGGTATACCATCAATAATACAAACCCATCTACTTAGTGACCTTCTCAATTAGTATTGAATGCAATCTCTCTTTTCATTAACAATCTTAAAAAGTTATGTGTGACAAATCCATCAAATATACCTCTATGGACAATGTTATACTATGTTAGTCATAGCCATAAAAAAATATTTATATGTTTAATGTTTAGTTGAGTTAGCACAAAGAATTGAAGTGTCACAAAGTCAAATGAAGTTATTAATTTTTTTTTTTAATGTAGCTCTTTCACTCTCTCTTCATACCCCTAATTTCAATATATCAAGACATTTCAAGGTAAGGAAAAAATTTCTACTTTGAGAATGGGATTGAAGCTAGTGTAATATCAACCTTCTCTTTAGATTAGAAACTTCCCCAACTTTCTTTTAGCACTCCCTATAACTAAAAGAAAAGGTTCCTTTTTTGATATGTTTTGCATTATTAAATGACTATAATATCCGACGTGTCATAAAAAAAAATATCACCAAGCATGGTTCTTGATCAATTTTGAGCAAGAAACATTCTAAATTCAAATTCAAAATCATGTAAGCCCAAATTTCAACAAGTTAATAGTAAACTTAAGTATCTCAACTAGAAAAACCTAATGATGCTCTGAAGCCAAATAAGCCCAAATTAAATATTTGAACTGTAGTCTAAGGCTTTGGTACACCAATTGGAAGGCTAAATAATTTCAAATTTTTGCATGCTTATAGTCAAATTGAGCGACATGATAAGAGTAATCCAACAAGGTCAAGATTATCTAATTCTGAAGTCATTAAGATAATTATATAGTGAAAAAACTATTTGTGATCATAAGAATTAACGTGGACAGTCTGATGAAGTGTTTTGGGAGATTAGCCAAATTTATTAAAATGTCCATCTCAAAAATTATAAATAAGTCCTCTTTCTTCACTTGATGGGAGAGAAGAGAAGAGAGTCAGTTGATATTAAAGCTTAATATTTAAAATTCTTGCAATTATTGTTGGTCACTAAAGTATACCACAAACCACCGAACATCTTCATCGATGGCCACCAATAATACCTATAACCAACAATGGTTGTTATAGCCACAAAATATGGATTTTATAGCCAATTACTGTTATTGTAACCACCAAGTATAGTTCTTGTAGCCCCAATTAAGGTCATTATAGCTAAACTATTATAACTTGGTGATTGTCAATTTTTATAATCTCATCTTTCTTTTTTTTTAGATAAGGGTTGACCACTTTTGATTTCTTAGTGAATTACTTTGATTAGGCCAAGTCTCGTGATAGTTTTCCTTTTCAATTACTTTTCTATGTAAAAAATCTATTTGTTTTCCACACTTTTTATGTGTGTGTGTGTCTGTGGGGGGGGGCTTAAATGTGGGGGGGGTTTATAAATTTAGATTGAGCTAAGACATAAGCTTTTTTGTTATTAAGAAATTTCCAATACATAATTGTTTAGCACCATTTATGGAAAATAAAATTCCTCCTTTAGAGAAGTGTGAGCATCCTTTTAATGTTGAAAAAGTGCAATACTCACAATATTGGAGCCTCCTGCTCTAATACCCATCATTCCAGGGAACAATTTCAATGTTATGGGTGTCATGCCTCTACATTTTTTGGCTTGATGGGCATCACCCTATTGGTGAATGTGCACCTTTTTTCCACTTAGAGGACCACATGTGTAGAATGAAAAAAATCTCAAAATGAGACTGCAATTTCTATGTGAGGCTTAACAACCAATAGTAGCACAAATTAGGGGCATTCATCCACCAGAAGATCAACCAACAATAATGGATGCATAGCTAGAGAACACTCCTCTAATGCCCCCTCTTCATATTGGAGTTCCTTCTCAACTAGCCAGAAAGTTGACATCTTATACAATGTAGTTCTACACATCCATCTCATACAGTTAGACCAAATTTCACGAAGCTCCTAAAGAGAGAAACAAGTAAAGTTGATAGATGAAAAATACTATTTTCATCAATATTAATGTGAAACACGTAATCATAATCCACAAAATACACCCAAAAGTATACTTTAATGAAGATTAAAAATTTTGAATACCTGAGGTGGCCAAAGCAACTAAAAAATCAAATGATGGGGACTAATCTCAATATTGACATTTTCTCCATTCAAAAGGACATTCAACAGATGCAAACTTAAATGAGGAAATTGAATGTTTAATACTGTAAAGTCAGTTTAGTAATTACATACAAGAATAATGTAAAGAAGATTAGATGAGTCATATAAAAATTTTTTGAATAAACTTAATGAGAAGCGCAGCTACAATATGTTTTATCTCTACCAAGACTATTTATCCTCTTATGCTAAATAATTTTTATCACTGAAATGACTCATAAAAGTTTCTTATTTCATTTCATAAAAGAAATTTTTTATTTTTAAAGATAAAATTTTATCATTTAAGTAACTTGTTTATTGTCAATGAACTTTTTTTTATAAATAATGTTATTTATTACGAGTCCTCTCGAGAGCAAGTGATGAACATAGTCTCTACTTATATCTCTAAAAGATATTCTTATAAGGTAGTCTTGATGCGAAGCTGATAGTGAACGTGATCCTCATTAACAAATGATCTTGGGGGCAAGCGATAAACGCAATCTCTGCTTATTCCCTTGGAAGATAATCCACCACAAGTGTGTTGTGTCACAATAATGTAAGTTGGGTAATTGAACTAGAAATTTGATCCACTCCTTACAAATTAGATATTCTTACATACTGAGGTTTCTCACGCAAGAATACGTATTTTTTCAGTAATATAGGGCT